ACCTGTTCTTCCACTGTGCCTCCGCGGTGCCATGGGATGTTCATTTCCATCTTACATTTCCATATTAATGCTGAATTTCATGCAAAATTAAGAGCATAGAAATGAACATGCTTTTCAGTAACTCGACATTTATGTTTAAAGCATCCCTTTCTATCAATTTTATGTCATATTTCCATATTCTTGGACTAGATTTGTATTTTTCATTATTTGTAAGTGATGACAAGTGATGATCACCAAAACTATAACAAATACAATGTGGGAACATTTCACTCTAAGATGAAGACTCAAGATGGGCATCAGTGATTAGAGCAGCAAATCCAGGTTAAAACAGGATGCAAAAGACCTATTTGTTTATAAGCAAAGATGCAAGTGGGGGTTAAAATTGGCTTTTATTAGTGTGACTTCATTTAGTACAAAAAATGTGCAAACACAAGAAATAGTCAGGTTTGAGGCATTACAGTGGTAAGCCAATAAAGATGATATCTATTATGTTTAATAAGCAACAGTTAAAGGCTGGAATTGATGTGGTTATTTTTTCTATTAGACTCAGCATGTCTACAGTTTTGTTCATAGATATAAACTTCAAAGGATGTTGGGTTCAAAGACTGATTTAACTTGAAATTTGAAAGAAATGAAGAAAGAGACAAAGAAAGAAACTAAAGAAGAAAGAAAGAAGGAAACTAGTCAGCATAATTTTTAGAAAAATCCGATGAGTCAAATCTGATCCGGAATGACACCTGTGACCTGATACACATTTGATTTCGTTTTGATTTTTACAAAAGTTGATTTCCCATGAACAAAGGGGGGTTTTTACAAATTGGTGCAAGCTCTTCTGTACATTGTGGGGTGTTATTAAATGCCTGTTTTTTCATAGCTATGACTAATGTGTTAAAAATTTGCAAATGTGATCAAATTAAGCCAAGTTGTGTAATCTTTGTTTTTAGTGACTACTTCAAGTAAGTTTCAACCAAAGTATCTGTGTTTCTTTGGAATATGTGTCAATATCGAGCAATATTTAATATGCAATGTTTGCTCACACCACTACTGCAAATGTACTTCTACTTTTAATTTTGTGTCCATACTTTTTGTGTTGAAAGCGCTTGAAAATGTTATGTTCCAGTTTTTTGTTGCAAAGAAAATACATTTGATTATGGCTTACATTCACCATTTTGCATGTTATGGAATGAAAAAAATCACATTTGTTGAAAAGTGTAGAAAATTCCTAACAGTTCAATTTATTATGCACAAGTTCCATTTTACTGAAACACCAATTCTATTTCACTGCAATAAAATATTCAAAAACATTGGAATTTATTAAACTAGTACATTTCAGTGTTATGTAGTTGCTGTTGCGTTTTACTTAAACTCATCTTGCAAACGATGAGAGAAACGGTTTCGGGTACATCTATGGTCCTTATCAACAAATCTGCTGGGTGATCTTATCTGTCCGTCTCATTCTTGAATGAGCTGAAGGAAAATATGGGTCATCTTTTTCGAAATACGTTTCTGAGAAAAGCATTTTACTTGTCGGCCAACAACAGCAGCTCTACTGAGTCCCCACTGTATCCATGAAAGTTAACTATCTTTGAAACATAATTACTCTACCAGAGTAGATTCACTCTGGTAGATCCGTTTTTTTTTCATCAGTAATTTTGTTAATTGACACATTCATCTAACAATAATTGAGCTAGGTGACATACGTAAGCTGATAAATCTGCATAATTTACAAGATGAAGCTTAGCTCTCTCACCAAAATGCATCTCATTACTGAGGTGTTGCTTAATGCATCTGATTCACTTAATAAGTGGGTTCTGTCAAAAGTTGTGCTCATCCTGAAAACAAACGGTAGCATGAATATCAACTGGACCTCTGCAAAACAAATAAGAGACTCTTGGATTTTAACTAACAGGGACTGTAAGAGTCGTCCTTGTAATTCGAAGCTCTGTCTTTTTGTCATTCACCTTTGTGTAAAAGTGTTTTTTTTTCTCGTCTCGTGCTAGTTAACTCCCGTTGCTACACAATCTGCTAATTCTCACAGGTACAACCTCACACTTTATTCTGTGAACTCAATTAACACCATCCTGCATTTTCTCCTCAGACTTTATTTTTAACCTATAAAACTAATTGATTTCATGTTCCAGCCTGGCGCAGCCAGTGCACGTTTTACTTTATCTCAGTAACCCGTAAATTATCAGGCCAGTTTGGTATTCAGCAAGGACCATGTTTCAGCTGCACAGAGTCAACTCGATGACATCAAGTAAAGCCTGGATATTACAGTTGCATATAAGGACTGAACTGTATTTGTGACACTGGAAAATGACAATATTTGACTGGGATGCAATATCTGTCCAACTATTCTTAAACACCCTGATAACAAGAATGGTTATAAATGGGAAATTATTTAGATTCCACAAATGTTTTAAAATAGCATCCACTGCTAAGATAACAGGCTAAAGTAAAAGCATTTGATAATTTATATGCATTTTACCATCATAAAAAACAGCCCGGTACATTCCTACTATAAAAAACGTTGGATAAGGACAATAGAGATAGAAAAAGGTATTTAGGTTGTTTATTGAACTGCACCGGAATGCCTGAACAGATTGTACATTCTTTTAAGGAAAAGAATGAGATGGCTTTGTATATTCTGCATGTCTGTTTTTTGGAAAATGTAAAAACTGCTGTGTGTCTACCGAACAGAGTGATGCATTTGATAAATTTGTAAAACATTTATTTTTAAATCAGAAGTCGGTCTTGGGTTTGATGTCACAACTGAGCTAAAAGCTCAGTTCCAGATAGTCTGAGAAGTTGGGAATTCAACATGTTTGAAATTGTTCACAGCACCTCTTGTGAACATCGTTTTAAGCTTTACCTTTCATGACCAAAGCAACACTTTTACTTTGTTCAGTTTATTGTTGTAGGCGGTACATGAAACCTTGATAATAATTAATAAATGCTTTCTCACATTGGTGTTTTATAAAATAACCATGTTTCAACCTACAGCTTTTTAATGTTGATGCTATGGGTGGAGACATTGAAATGCAAAGTCAGCCTTAAAAACCCTAACTGGGAATAGTCTCCGTCTCTCCCACTTTCCATGTGGGAAGCCGGAGTTCAGCAGGGAAACCAGTGAAATGCACCTTAAGTTGTCGATTGGTTTGCATTTAACAGTAAATTAAATCAATTAAAAATGGGGTCAAACACTGCATATGATATTTTTTTATAACATGGAGATATACAGTATGTCACCATATGTATTGCATGGTTTCTTGACTCATATTGGCAAAATGTTTAAATGTTGAATAATTTTAAAGTTAAGTCACAAGTGGACAAATTGTACCTATTACACCAAACTTCTCTATTAAAAGTTTCTTGGATTATTTCTATACTTCTGTTTCTGTGAGGGTTTTTTCTGTTTGAAATAAGTCAAAAGAACCTTAGAAATAATTGTTTTGGGGGGTTATTTCTACCATACCATACATTTACTACACTTGTTTAGCATTACATGTCAAATTCCTCATAAAGATTGGTTGTCTCATCCCAATCCTGTAGCCACAGCTGACATTATTTACTCTATTTTTGGGTACCCTGTTTCACAGGGCAGGGAATTTTCTTCTTGGAAATGTGTTGCTGCCTATTGATACAGAGGCACAATGCGTCAAGTGTTTCTCTTCACATGACTGCAGTATATAAAAGAGCTTGACTGTCCTGCTTTTTCTTGTTGCTTTAACTTACATATTCATGATTTACCAAGTTGGATGTACATTTTTAAGTGAATTGTTATCATAATACAGAAAACAAACATCTTTGAACACAGAAATTAGTGATCCACTCAGTTTAATGGGATGCTTGTTTACTGTAGCAGTTTAAGCACACCTAACAAATTGTTAAGGGCTTAGCAAGCTAATATACTCATTTAATTGTAAAGAAATGTATTAACTGATTTTTATGTGATGTCATTACACCCAAAAATTAAACTTAAAGCAAAGATAATCAAATTATGAACACAACTATCTAAGAGTCAATGAAATATCTGAAAGTTGTTTTTGAAAATAGAACAAATTAGCTTTAAATATAACTACTTTAAAAATCCTACAAGAGGCAGAAAATAGCACTGAACAAAAAACAAAGCCTCTGTGACACTTCACATATCAACTGTGGTCACGTTGATACGTGACCAGAGCAGGGCTGCTTGTATTGTGAAAGGGGATCCACAGAGAGGAAGTAACACAGCCAAATGCTTGTGTGCTCTGCTTTCTTCTCAGAAATATGAAATAATCTGTTCCACATAGTAGTTGTTTGCCACTGAGAACTTTTAGCTTGTCAAATAACAATTTTCTAGTGAGTTCCAGTGATTTAAGGACATTAGAAAAAGTGGAAATTATATCAAGAGATATGAACGCTTTAGTTTTTTTTTTGAAAATGTGGAACTAGACAAATGCTTTCTAGACAAAAGAATCACAGTAACAATGACAACTATGCTTGGAAAAGTCAAGATGGACCTTTTTATTTTTGGGATATTTTAACATTTGTGACATTCTGGTTTGAGCTTCTTTTGCAACTGGAGATACTGGGGCATTGGTCAAAGAATATGAAGATTATAAACTCGATTGCTTGGTGGTTGAAACATGGAAAGAGAAAAACGTTCCAATAGGACAAATACATTAAAATTGCTTTTTGAATGGAGAAAGCAGGCTACGATCAAGCTTCTTTAAACTATAGATTTCTCCACCATTTTTGTCCACACATGGTGGACAGACATCCAACTAAAAGGCCCAGAAGCTTATTGATGACTACAAAACCATGTAGCTGCAGTGCAATGTGCTAAGACGGATCTAACCAAATATTAGTTGGAGTGCATGTATCATGGTTTGTAATTTTGAGGATGTGTGGATTAGAGAAAATCGACAGCAACTTTAAACATGTGAGGAGTGAATGGCAAACATCTGACTACAATCTAGTAATTGTAAAACTGGGTCCCAAACAGAAATTTTCCTTACCGTCTGGTTGTCCTCGTAGAGTTTTAGATCATAGCCACTCAGCTCAACACAGAATATGATTGCAGTCACGCCCTCAAAACAGTGAATCCACTTCTTTCTCTCCGAACGCTGTCCACCCACATCCACCATCTTAAAGGTGAGCTCCTTGAAGGTGAACTTGTTCTCCACAATGCCTGTGGTCATGTCACGGGAGCGCAAGATGTCCTCTACAGTGGGGATGTACTCAGCTGCAGAGATGCGGTCCAGGTCGTTTAGGTAGTAGGAGGTGTTGTCCTCTAAGTGATACTCGTTGGAGCGCTGAAAGCACTCCTGGACCCCTGCATCCGCCCACAGACGTTTCATTACCCCCAGCAGCTCTGGAGTGATCTCCCCTTTGCTCTCAGCTGGCCCTGTGAGGGCAAAGAGTTGAACGGCGTCATAGGCGCGATCAGGATTGTGAAAGTCAATCTTAAGAGTGGTGAGGGCTCGGATTATGCGGGTGAGAGAGTCGATGGCGTTATAGAGGATGAGAGGCTTGTACTCCTTGCAGGCTTCCAGGTTAAAGCCACCACTGTGAATGATTTTCATCTGCTTAACAATGGTGCTCTTTCCGGAGTTGCTGGTGCCCAGCAGGAGAAGCTTGATCTCACGCCGTTGCCGCTGACTCTCTGAGCGCAGATGGCGGTCGATCCGCCTCGAGCGCCGAGCCGCTTCCTTCTCCTCCGAGCTCTGACGGCATCCCATGGTCCTCCACCACGTCGTTAGCACAAAGGAACTCGTGCTGCCTCTGGATGGGAAAGCAAATTATGATGAAGAAGTGGATCAATAGGAGGTGGTGGTGGAGGAGCCGGAGACTTATTTCTGTAAAGCGCAAGGATTCAGGAAAGGACCCAGACAAGAAATCAGTGATAACACGAGACAGCAAAGGGACCACATACAGGAGTGACTCAGGAGTATTTCATTCTTTTTCTTCAGGGGCAGTCTGTGAGTTCTGTGTAGGCAGAACCCAGACTTGTGGGATGCCCACACAGTCCCTGGCACTGAGGATGGACTGCCTACTGAAGCCAACAGAGCTGGGGTTCATAGCAGGGGCTTCCCCTGAGGAAAAGCACTGGTGAAAGACTGGGGAAAGGTTACTGTATGTCAGCGGAGAAAAGACTTGGACTTGATGCTTGTGAATATGAAATCCCAGTCACTCTCCTCCCTCATGGCTCTTGTGCAGTGTTCTGACCATGCACAATATTTAGCCAGTTTTGTTTGATCCAGGTGAAAAAAACGTTTCCTCCTCTTCTTCTGTTAGATTTCTCCCAGAGGATGGGAAGCCTGTCAACACAGAACATGGAGAAAAAGATTTTATACTTTCAAGTTTCACGTCACAGAATCACATGTCAGGTATTTTGTATGCATTGCAATTTTATGCTTGTGTTCAGGCATATCTGCTTCATTTTCCTACTTTTTCTTTAGGTTGAAAAATAAGACACAAGACTGGATGGACTCAATGTGATGTCATTTCCTTCTCTTACAAAGAGACACTTCTGTTGGGGGAAGTGCGGACAATGCAGCTGAATAGGAGCCAATGCAAATTATTGAGATTTTAGTACAATAAAGTTTTAAAGTATCAAACTGTCTTGTTTTATAAGTTGTATTTGAATATGACATAGGTTCAAGACACTGATTTGCAAAGTAAAACTTTAAATGAATGTGGCTTGTCATAGACATAGGATAGAGTGACTTTACTTCAATGTTTTTAATATGAAAATCAATAAACAAAAGCAAAATTATAAAATTTTTCAACTTGTCTGTCATGGCATCCAAACACCTAAAACAGTCAAAAACACAAGACACAAAAGGATTTCTTTCCTGTTTTAAACTTTTATTGCTCCAAACTCTGTCTGTTTAAACTCTCCGTTTCTACATTACATACAATATTCAACTTAAGATTACCATTAAAACCATATGTAGTGACAGTGCTATTAGAAAATTCCAAATTGTTTTCTCTGTCCCTTCAACACACAAAGAAATAAGACAGCAGTTGTGAAAGGTTGTATAGCAACAATTCTTCAACCCCCAAAGATCACAAAGCATTAAAAGTAGCTGCTTTTTGAATGTTTTACCTGCACAAGGGAAAGGCTTGAAAATGGTTTTGTCCTCGCTTCATGTAGGAGAAAAACACAGAAGCGCTCCTCTCTTTCAACGTCAAATACTAAGTGAAAATTCAGTCAGATGTTTGCACTCTTGGTCTGGTTTGTTTACCTTGTTACTAGCTTGCCAAATTCTTTTAACTCTTTGTTAGGATTCAAGTTGGTGTGAGTGCTCCTCCGAATAGACAATCTTCGTGGGAGCGTTCCGGCAGGCTGACGCACCTGAAGCGGATTTCTGAAATCGGCTGCAGGATTCTTAAGAAGCGGTGGAGCAGCCATTCATCGCTCGATGGTCCCACTTGTTGGTCAGAGTCAATCCCAAGGTTTGCCAAGCTTCACGTTGACTAAGGACTAAGTTAATCTTTATTGTTTTTTCTCAGATTTTGGATGCTCTGCCTGGATCCAGCTAAGTTACCACGCCCACCCGAACACTGACACCGATCGCCCTCCGGACTAGACGCTCTCGTCTGCCGCCTGAGCCCGCAACCTTCTCGGAGCCTTTGCACCAACGGATCCTACCTCCTCCTCGGCAATCCTCCATCAGATGATCTGTAAGCCCTTCCCTCCACTTCCCTGTCAAGATCCTCTCACTCCCGCTCCTACTAACCTCTCCCCTCTCCAAGCAGTACCTGAGCCGCCCAGCCGCTCCCGAAACCAGAGGACAACTTAGGCTCAACATATTCCATAATAACTGTAAATAAATCTTTGAACCAAAAACCTTCCGGTCTGATGTCTAAACCTGCATGTGGGTAAAGAAACTCAAATCCAGCATGACAGAACCATCGAGCCATGTTGACCCAGCAGGTTCTCACACAAGACCCGGTTTAAGTTCAGCAGAACTCCTAGCCCGCCATGACGCTATGCTTCGCACTTTATTAGACCAGCAGAGTTTCCAGGGCCAGCTGATGGATCAGTTGAGAACCACAGTCTCGGAACTATCACACAGGCTGGAGCAAAACCCTCAGCCTCAAATTACAGCCGGAGCAGCGGCCCCAGTCTTTCCTCCGGGGGTGGAGCAGATAGCGGTAGCGGCTTCAGGTGGGTCGCTCCGAGCTCGTGAGATTTCACCCCGACACCAGAACATTATTCGGGAGAGATTGGAAAGTGTGGAGGATTCATTCTGCAGTGTTCTATTGTATTTTGCAGAGCTCCAGGCTCATTTCCGGATGACCCCGCCAAGATAGCTTACATGATCGGACTTTTGAAGGGAAGAGCCCTGAGATGGGCAGAAGCTAAATTTAGCCTCTCATCTCTTTCACAAACACCTTTTGCTACCTTCTTGAACGAGTTAAAGCAAACTTTTGGTTATGCAGAGTCCAGTTCAGAAATCTCGCATCAGCTTTGGAACCTGAAGCAGGGGTCCCGTTCTGTAGCTGAATTTGCCATTGATTTTCGCACTCTAGCAGCCACGTCTGGTTGGAATGACGAAGCTCTCAAAGGGGCTTTCATGCAGGCTCTCAATGAGACTCTCAAAGATGAACTGGCATGCAGGGATGAACCAGCCAGTTTGGAGAACCTGATAGCTTTGGCTATTAAGGTCGATAATAGACTTAGAGGAAGGTCCCGAGAGAAGAGAGCATTTAAACCTGTGCCTTTTTCAGACAAACTCGCACCAGAGGTTGCTATGGAAACCATCCCGAACACGCCTTCTTCCGAGGAGCCCATGCAGATCGGCCGCACCAGAATTTCCCCCACAGAACGACAACGACGACTAGAAGCTCGTGCCTGCTTCTATTGCGGTCTTACTGGTCACTTCGTCGCCGTATGCCCGGCTCGGTTAAAAGGCGGAGCCCACCAGTGATAACGGGAGTCCTGGTGGGTGGCTGTTCCAGTTTGATCTCCCGACTTTCTCTTTCTGCATCCCTTTTCATCAACCAAAGGTCAGTTAACGTATCGGCTCTAATTGATTCTGGATGTGAGCAGAACCTGATCGATGAAAATTTGGTAAAGAAACTAAATATTCCTACAATTTCTCTCCCCGTCCCGGTCCAAGTTTCCGCCCTGGATGGAGGAGTCTTGCCCGTCATTTCACAACAGACTAAACCCATTGAACTTCTGGTTTCAGGAAATCATCGTGAGATTTTGATCTTCTATGTGTTTCCCTCTCCGCAGACCCCTCTGGTGCTGGGTTTCCCTTGGCTGAGACAGCACAATCCTCACCTTAATTGGAATGAGGGGAGAGTGGAATCATGGAGCAGAACCTGCCACTCAACCTGTCTACAGGCCGCCCAGACGACTCCACAATTGGACATCACCCGGGAGGATGAGGAGGACATTCTGGACCTGTCCAAGATTCCCCCTGAATATCATGATTTGAAAATGGTTTTTCAGAAAAATAAAGCACTGTCACTTCCCCCCACCGCCCCTATGACTGTGCTATTGATCTCCTTCCCGGTGCTCCGTTGCCCTCCAGTCGACTTTATAACATTTCTAAGCCAGAGAGGGAGAGCATGCTAAAATATATTAACGAGTCCCGCGCTGCAGGCATTATTCGCCCTCCACGTCTCCGCTGGGGCGGGATTTTTTTTTGTGTCTAAGAAAGACGGCTCTCTCAGACCATGTATTGATTATAAGTGTCTTAATCAGATCACGGTTAAAAATAAGTATCCCCTTCCCCTTCTCACATCAGCTTTTGAACCGGTCTTGTGCGAAATTCGGTTCCCCTGTGAAAATCTGTTCCCCCTGCGTCGGGAGCGCGCATTACAGCCAGAGAGGCGAAAGAGGCGGATCTGATCATTTTCACGTCGCTTCTGATCGATTTCTCGGTAAAAAAAACAACTAATACAACCATGTCAATGTTGTAACACTCAGTTTAATTTGCAGCTGTTGTTTAAAAAAATTGTAAAATAAATAAATAAACGAGGTCTTCTGACGCTGTTTTGTGTTATTGTAAACACCAAGAGAATCGCTCTTTTCTCACGTAAGTCTGGCAGAAATAAAAGTCAGTCACCAAACAGTTTTCCCAACACGTGGTGTGTATGTAAAGGTTTTTGTGAATTTGGAAACAGTTGTTCTTTATTCCCCAAGGTTATGGAGTAAGGAGAGGAAATAATGGATGATTCAGCAGCCTGAAATATTCTGTTCCCCCTCCATAAAATGGGAACAAATTATTTTACCTGCAAATGCTTAACTGTGCTTATTCCTCTCATCATCAACAATAAATCCTGTGAATTTGGTAGCATTTGCTCCTTTTTTGCCAGAGTTATGAGGGGGGAACCATATATTTCAGCTGGCTAAAATATTCCGTTCCCCCTCTATAAAATGGGAACAACTGAACTTACCAGCAAGATTTTTTCTCTGCTTATTCCTCTCATCATCAACAATAAATACTGTGAATTTGGTAGCATTTGCTCTTATTTTGCCAGAGTTATGAGGGGGGAACCATATATTTTAGCTGGCTAAAATATTCCGTTCCCCCTCCATAAAATGGGAACAACTGAACTTACCAGCAATGTTTTTTCTCTGCTTATTCCTCTCATCATCAACAATAAATACTGTGAATTTGGTAGCATTTGCTCCTTTTTTGTCAGAGTTATGAGGGGGGAACCATATATTTTTAGCTGGCTAAAATATTCCGTTCCCCCTCCATAAAATGGGAACAAATTATTTTACCTGCAAATGCTTAACTGTGCTTATTCTTCTCATCATCAACAATAAATCCTGTGATTTTGGTAGCATTTGCTCCTACTTTGCCAGAATTATGGGGGGGAACCAAATATTTTAGCTGTTTTACCTGACTGAAATTATCCGTTCCCCCTCAAAAACATGGAAACAAATGTATTTATCAACAGTAATCATCAACAGCAAACTGGCTGTTGGCAAACAGCAAGTTTGAAAACATTTCATCACTATTTGCTCCATCACCATCTCCACCTGCTGCAGCACCTCCCCCTGCTCCAGTCCCTCCACCGACTCCATCCCCACCTCCTGCTCCATCACCGTCTTCCTCTGCTCTGCCATTGACTCCTGTCCAGTCCAGAAAAAAACTCAAGCTGAGAAATGTAAATTTGATTTCCAATTCTTATAAATATACATCAATGCACATGCATTTCAGTTTTTTATTATCATACATATATGTCTCATAAAGACTTTATGTCTTTGTACTGATATGCTTTCATCTTATTTTAATAAAAGGAATAATTTCAGTATATTATTAAAACAAAATGATACTGAAATTATTCCTTTTATTAAAATAAGAGGAAGACGGTGATGGAGCAGGAGGTGGGGATGGAGTCTTGCTGGTAAGTGCAGTTGTTCCCATTTTATGGAGGGGGAACGGAATATTTTAGCCAGCTAAAATATATGGTTCCCCCCTCATACCTCTGGCAAAATAAGAGCAAATGCTACCAAATTCACAGGATTTATTGTTGATGATGAGAGGAATAAGCAGAGAAAAAACATTGCTGGTAAGTTCAGTTGTTCCCATTTTATGGAGGGGGAACGGAATATTTTAGCCAGCTAAAATATATGGTTCCCCCCTCATATCTATGGCAAAAAAGGAGCAAATGCTACCAAATTCACAGTATTTATTGTTGATGATGAGAGGAATAAGCAGAGAAAAAACATTGCTGGTAAGTTCAGTTGTTCCCATTTTATGGAGGGGGAACGGAATATTTTAGCCAGCTAAAATATATGGTTCCCCCCTCATAACTCTGGCAAAAAGGAGCAAATGCTACCAAATTCACAGGATTTATTGTTGATGATGAGAAGAATAAGCACAGTTAAGCATTTGCAGGTAAAATAATTTGTTCCCATTTTATGGAGGGGAACAGAATATTTCAGGCTGCTGAATCATCCATTATTTCCTCTCCTTACTCCATAACCTTGGGGAATAAAGAACAACTGTTTCCAAATTCACAAAAACCTTACATACACCACGTGTTGGGAAAACTGTTTGGTGACTGACTTTTATTTCTGCCAGACTTACGTGAGAAAAGAGCGATTCTCTTGGTGTTTACAATAACACAAAACAGCGTCAGAAGACCTCGTTTATTTATTTATTTTACAACTTTTTTAAACAAAAGCTGCAAATTAAACTGAGTGTTACAACATTGACATGGTTGTATTAGTTGTTTTTTTTTTTTTTTTTTTTACCGAGAAATTGATCAGAAGCGACGTGAAAATGATCAGATCCGCCTCTTTCGCCTCTCTGGCTGTAATGCGCGCTCCCGACGCAGGGGGAACAGATTTTCACAGGGGAACCGAATTTCGCACAAGACCGGTACAGGGTGCCACCGTGTTTACTAAATTGGACCTACGAAACGCTTACCATCTGGTGCGCATCCGTGAAGGTGATGAATGGAAAACGGCGTTCAAAACCCCGCTGGGCCATTTCGAATATCTGGTCATGCCTTTCGGTCTGACGAATGCCCCGGCCGTTTTCCAGTCCCTTATCAATGACGTGTTGCGTGATTTTCTGGATCAATTTGTGTTTGTTTACCTGGACGACATCCTGATTTTTTCTGAGACCCTGGCGGAACATAAACGGCATGTAAGGTTGGTCCTACAGCGTCTGTTAGAAAATAGTTTGTATGTTAAAGCGGAAAAATGCGAGTTTCATGTGCCTTCCATCTCGTTCCTGGGGTTCATTTTGGAGAGTGGGCAGGTGAAGCCGGATCCCGGGAGAATTCGCGCAGTTTTGGATTGGCCGACCCCATCTTCTCGCAAGCAACTACAACGTTTTTTGGGGTTTGCTAATTTTTATCGAAGGTTTGTCCGTAATTACAGTCAGACTGCGGCCCCCATGACCAGTCTTACGTCCACCAAGGTCCAGTTCTCCTGGACTCCGGAAGCTGACGCAGCGTTTTCGGCTCTGAAAAAGAAATTCGCTAATGCCCCGGTCCTGATCCAGCCAGACCCACTAGGCAATTCACATTGGAAGTGGATGCTTCCGATTCAGGGGTGGGGGCGGTGTTATCTCAAACCTCGCCTTCTGATCACAAGATGCATCCGTGCGCTTTTTTTTCTCGCCGACTTTCTCCTTCAGAAAGAAACTATGACGTGGGGGACCGGGAGTTGTTGGCGATTAAAATGGCTTTTGAAGAGTGGCGCCACTGGTTGGAGGGGGCTGAGCTTCCGATTGTGGTTTGGACCGATCACAAAAATTTATCCTATCTGCAGACGGCTAAACGGTTGAATCCGCGACAGTCAAGATGGTCTCTTTTTTTTTCCAGATTCAACTTTATCATTTCATATAGACCAGGTTCTAAGAATGTGAAACCAGATGCTCTCTCCCGACAATTCTCCTCTGATGAGGACCCTATTGTGGACACCATAGTTCCTCGCTCATGCATCATGGGGGGGGTTTCCTGGGACATCTGACCAGGTCCTCAAAGCTCAGCAGTCGGATCCTGATCCAGGTACTGGTCCTCCGGGTCGAATTTACGCTCCTTCTTCTGTTCGCTCCCGTCTGATCCATTGGGCTCACGCTTCCCGTTTTTCTGGTCACCCGGGCGCCAGTCGGACCGCGGCATTAATCAGGCGCTCCTTTTGGTGGCCGTCCCTTCATAAGGATGTGAAAGAGTATGTTTCGGCCTGCCCCTCCTGCGCTAAGAACAAGTCCAGCCATCAACTTCCCAGTGGGCTTTTGCAGCCCTTACCCGTTCCGGGACGTCCTTGGTCCCATATTGCTCTTGATTTTGTCACCGGCCTGCCCCCTTCTAAGGGTTCACAGTCATACTTACCATCGTGGACCGTTTTTCCAAGGCCTGTCACCTTGTGCCCCTTAAAATTGCCGTCTGCTGCGGAAACTGCTCTTTTGCTTATTAAGCATGTTTTTAGGCTCCATGGGATTCCTAGGGAAATTCTATCTGACAGGGGACCCCAGTTTATCTCGAAGGTATGGAAAGACTTTTGTGGCGCGCTTGGGGCCAAGGTATCTTTATCTTCTGGGTTTCATCCTCAGACCAATGGGCAAACGGAGCGCATGAATCAGGAGATGGAATCTACACTTCGCTGCCTGTGCTCCTCCAACCCCTCCTCATGGTCCTCCCAGCTGCCCTGGGTTGAGTATGCACATAACAGCCACGTTTCTTCCGCTTCTGGTTTGTCCCCATTTGAATGTTCACTAGGTTATCAGCCTCCTCTCCTCCCATCAGACGAATCCCGGAATGCCGTCACGTCAGCTCAACACCACATTCGGAAGTGCCAGCGCATTTGGAGGGATGCTACTGCAGCATTGAATCGCACCGCTGCCCAGAATCGCCGCTTTGCGGACAGGAAGAGACGTCAAGCTCCTGTTTACAGGCCGGGTCAGAGGGTTTGGCTGTCGGCCAAAGACATTCCCCTAAAAGCTGCATCTAAGAAATTATCTCCTAAGTATTTAGGTCCGTTTGAGATCCAGGCTATTGTGAACCCCGCTGCGGTCAGACTCAGGCTCCCACCTTCTCTCAGGGTTCATCCCGTGTTTCATGTTTCCCTACTGAAGCCTGTGAGGTCTAGCCCGCTTTGCCCTCCAGTTGGCTCCCCTCCTCCGCTATATTGATGGGGGTCCGGCCTATACTATTAATAAAATCCTTGACGTACGTCGGAGGGGCAGGGGTTTTCAATATCTGGTGGATTGGAAAGGTTACGGCCCGGAGGAACGCTCCTGGGTTTCCAGGTCTTTTATTCTGGACAAGTCGGTTCTGAGGAGGTTTCATGCCACCAGAGCTTCGGGTTCCTCGGGACCGCCGGGTGGCGGTCATTGAGGGAGGGGTAATGTTAGGATTCAAGTTGGTGTGAGTGCTCCTCCGAATAGACAATCTTCGTGGGAGCGTTCCGGCAGGCTGACGCACCTGAAGCGGATTTCTGAAATCGGCTGCAGGATTCTTAAGAAGCGGTGGAGCAGCCATTCATCGCTCGATGGTCCCACTTGTTGGTCAGAGTCAATCCCAAGGTTTGCCAAGCTTCACGTTGACTAAGGACTAAGTTAATCTTTATTGTTTTTTCTCAGATTTTGGATGCTCTGCCTGGATCCAGCTAAGTTACCACGCCCACCCGAACACTGACACCGATCGCCCTCCGGACTAGACGCTCTCGTCTGCCGCCTGAGCCCGCAACCTTCTCGGAGCCTTTGCACCAACGGATCCTACCTCCTCCTCGGCAATCCTCCATCAGATGATCTGTAAGCCCTTCCCTCCACTTCCCTGTCAAGATCCTCTCACTCCCGCTCCTACTAACCTCTCCCCTCTCCAAGCAGTACCTGAGCCGCCCAGCCGCTCCCGAAACCAGAGGACAACTTAGGCTCAACATATTCCATAATAACTGTAAATAAATCTTTGAACCAAAAACCTTCCGGTCTGATGTCTAAACCTGCATGTGGGTAAAGAAACTCAAATCCAGCATGACACTCTTAGCATTGTATCTGGTCATGTACTTAAAGCCAACATATGAAACTGGGCTTTTTGTCCTGAAAAGAATTTATTTTATACCTTCACAGTAAGAGCCTTATATTGTATATATGTTGTAGACTGTATCGGCATGACCAGGCTTTAATACAAGAGGTGATCCATTACTGGATCATTTGTTTCTGATTTACTCTGAAAAAGAGCTGCAATTCACTTCAGAGAGATTGTAAAGAAAAGGAAACTGGAAGATTAACAAAACTTATTTATTGAAAATAGAATAAACAAAAGCTGAAGGAAGAATGAAGGCCAATCTCCAGCAGCATAATTTTAGATCATTTTCTCTTCGGTAACCAACATGGCATTGTCAAGGCTTTTAGCTCCACCAATCATGGTGAAACACCTCCATAATCAAAAATGCTAAGATGTTGTCCCACATTCCTTATCGAACAGGATAAGGAGTTAATGATTAGTTTTTAGTTAGTTAATAACTAAGAATTGACCACATCTGAAAAATAACCTAAAAACACAAGACAAAAACCAGATTGTGAAATTATTTCTGCTGACACAAATAGATTTAATCCTTCTGCAACAGCAACAATTAGCAGTTGCCTAATTTCTTACAAAGTAAAAATGTGGAAACCATAAAACAAATCCTATGATGTTGTGATTATATATTCATTTTATATCAGACCATTAATGCTCTCGAACTCTGTAACATTACCTGTTTAAAATCCTTTCCTCTCCTTGCTTCTACAGACCCAGAAAATGATTATTTATGCTTTGTTTAATTTCTTCAGTCCGTCAGGTTAGATTATTTTGTTGTCATGTTTCAAGATTTAACATTAACAAAAAATGTGAGGAGTTTAAATTGAGAGACATTAACTCATAGGAAAGTTACTGATCAGAAAACTTGTCATTCAGTTTGTGGTTTATTCAAAAAGCTCCATGACAAGAGTACATTTGGGCCCGCTTCCTGTGTTGGAAAAACTATGCAAGTACCATGCAAAGCTCCTCCAGTGGAAACACATCTGTGGCTACAGTTTGTGCTTCACACTACTGACTAGTGATTTTGTCATCTTACGATAAAAACATTCAACATGAAACTAAAATCCGGCTTTCATTTAGTAATCTTTCTTTATTGAAGTCTCACATTGTTGCTGGTTTTGCACAGATTAAGGAGTCAACGTGCAACATGTCTCTTAAGCTCTTTTCACAATAGATCATTAACATTGATAGCCTCAATTTTACCTTTACATTGATGTTTCTCATAAAGTAATCAATCCAAATTACACTTACAGAGTCACTGTGCATGAACATGGTCAGTTCAGACATTATTTCATGTATAACATGGACAACACAATCAGTTTGTATGATGAAACATTCTGCAAATGTACACAATATGGGTTAATTGATCTGGAAATACTTTTCAACTTATTGAATGGAAATGTCTTCTTACTACAGGATTTAAGTTAACTGGATATTAAGTTTAATAATATTTTTTGTTGTCCATTGTGTATTGTTGAATGGTGTCTACACTGCTATGAAACATTGTAGCTCATGTATGACCTACATATTGAGACATTTTCCTCAAAAATGGCATGCCAGACAGTTCCTTTTAGAAATGAGTGAGTTGCAATCTGATGTCTGAAAGTTATGCTGTGGCCAGATGCTCTATTTACTGATGGGTAAGAACGCACCACAGAGGAACATTGGTTGCAAAGCTGGAAATGCATGCCAACCTATAGGGGTTGCTGCATGCAACTACTGAGAAACAGTTTTGCAGCCATCAAGTAATAAATACTAACAAGTGCTACAAGTGTTTAAAAATTTGAATGCCAAGTCTTGCTTTCCTTTTATTTAACTTATAGTTTCACTTTAAAAAAGTTTTATTTATTTATTTTTTTAATCAACAACTAACAATATTTATTTCAGTAGTTCAATAATGAGCTACTGTTATAGAAAAAAGTCTTAAATTAGCAATAATATTGTCAGTCAGACTTATCATATAAGAGTAAGCATTAGGCCTATACACTTGCACAAAAAAACAAGTGTAATTATTTTTTCTTGTTAGTTCATTTTACAAAGGTGATATTAATATTAGTAAGACTTATCTACTCTGTCTTCAGAAAAAATAGTGAAAAAAACATGCAAAAATTCAGCTATAACCCCAAAAGCTAAAATTTTACAAGTAGAAAATGAAACCATTTTTTTTGACCAAATGTGTGTTAATTTTTGTTGTAGTTCTAAAATTATGAAATAATTTCAAAGATGATTTAATTAAATCCAAATAAGCGCCATCAAATAAAACGCTCTTCCTCTAATTGAATGTTAGTGATGAGATTATAAAAGAGGTCCTTACTCGTCAGGTGCTTACTGACTTGTGCTCATTCCCCTGGTGCTATTATCTGAGCAGCGCCTCTTCTGAACTCTTTATCTGATTTACCTGGTCTCTTCAGCTACATGTGTGCGCTTTTACATATCTGAATCAGAGAAGAGATTAGCTCACCATGTCAACTTATTCAGTATCAACATACAATCGCATGTTGCATCTTGCATGTTTAATCTAGATCAAACATACAAGGCAGATGGCATGTAAGTGATGCAGTTTGGATGAAAGAAGCATATTTCCTTGCCGCATTAAATAAGTTGATGTCTCTCCATTTTTGGTAGACAGCAAAACAGCAATACATTCTCACGATCACTGTGGAAAATACCAAGCCAGAGTTGGCAGGTATCATTCTTGCTTTCATCCAGCTTTAAGCCTCTCTCTGCTTGCCTGGACATCTGTTTGTTATTCTACCCAGTAATGCCAAGATGAATAAAAATTTTTGTATGAATTTAGTTTCAATAAAGCGGAATTCTCTCGGCTGCAATTTCCAAGTTATACAGTAATAAACACACTGATATTTTCCTGGCTGAGGAACAAATATGATATTATTCAGCAGCCTAAATTAGTTTTTATTGTTGTTTCTGTTTTACCAGCAACTCAATTTCCTAATTCCCTGAAAGAAAGTGAGAGGGGTCTGCTCATAAAAAAAATAAAAAATAAAAAACCTGAGAGGCCAAATGGAGCAGAACCAAACTATAGCCAAACATCCTTACACAAACAAAGCAGGGACATTACTTTGTAGCTTCAGACACTCAACCACCCCTTTCAAAATGCCAAACCAGTTAATGTTCATTATTGATTCAGAGAGATTTGGAAACACATCGAAGCTCCAAGTATACATCATTCCATGTTTCTAAAATCGGTAGCACTTGTGGTTCTGCTCTGTTTTGACACTTTAACCTAACCTCAGTAATAGCATTGGAGGTATTTTGCTAGCAGTACTATTTAGCATCATATTGGATTGAGATGAATATTTGCCTGCTCTGTGTGTGACACAGCGAGCAGAAAAACAACGTAATGAAAAGTAGTGGAGAAAAAAGACTGGTCCTTTGTTATTTGAAACAAAAATTGAAACACTCTTTTGCCACTTAATTTGGTACACTCATTCAGTTTCTTAGACAAATTGTGAATCCACTAATCTGAAGGTCGCAACTCAATGGATTTAGGTCCTTAGACGAGGTGAAGGAGTGTTAGTGCACACTGCGCATCAGAATGGGAAGGACAGAGCATTTATGTGAAGTTCACAAAAACTGCTAATCTTCACGTAGTTTCAAGGAGAACCATCTCCTTGGTTTAAGGTGAATTTTCAGAGAATGAGAAAATATGCAGTGAACACGATTTGTTGCTTCCTTGATATCAGAGGTCATGGAAGGATTGGTCAACTAGTTTGACATGATAGAAGAAGGAAGCTCACTATTATCAACCAAGCTATTCAGAATAGCATTTCTAAAGACACAGCATGTTCATCTCTAAAGAAATGACCTTCAGCACCAGAAGACCAGATAAGTACTGTCCACTAGGAACCAATTGAAGGAAGTCCCTAAAATTGGAGTTTTCACACTGGACAAACATTTATTGGTCTAACAATTCTTGATTTCAGCTGCAACATTTGTGAGGTATGGTCAAAATTTTTGCATAAAGACAAAAAAGTCTGGAGCCATCCTGTTGGTCAACAAAATACAACTCCTACTTCTCTTACTTCCTGTAACCAAACTTGTACATAAGCGTAAATAATCATGCCCTCCTCTGTTCAAGCTCGATTGTTTGCATTAATCTCTGCATTCATTTGATAATTTGTTGGTTTGTTTATGAAATTACTGTTGGGCAACGTTTAACATCAATATTAACTTTCCATTATGCAGCCCACTGTTATTTTAATAGCAAGACAACTTTTCAGTAATCTGCAGCTACTTTAGTTCATCGGGGCAGAGTATTACTCTTCAGATCGAATTAAAACAAAACACATATTTGGAAAAAAGTACCCTTATATATTACGTTGGGTAATATATTAGTAATATATTGGTAAAATCAGTGATGATTTTACCACTGAACAGTGAAGTTCTAACATAGCAAGTTACCATCTAGAGATTAAATCAAATGGCTTCTCAGTAGTTATCTAATCTTGACTTGCATTCAGAGTCACGCCAAATAAAAACTGCATTAAGAACATTTTTTCCATGAAACAGAGTACATTAAATGCACCAGCAACAGATTAATTAAAAAAATATTATGTTGGTTCTGAAACATCGGCATTACATTGGTAATGCTTTTTAATTCAGCGAGAGCGGTTACCCAGGATAATTAATCTGGCTACAGAGCCAAATTGTTTAATTAATAGGCAAGGGTTCAGTCATCTAACCTAATACTTCTAGTTCTACACACATCTACATACTGGTAATTACATTATACCAATGTAATTATCTAATTAACAAAGAGCATTTAATCTAAATTTTGCATGCGAAGTCAGTCTTCCCAGAACTACCAAGAATAATCACGATCTGTTACCAAACTGAGTAAAATATTATC